TTTTTTTTTTTTTTTTTTTTTTGAAAAATTGATGGTTTTAAAAGAATAAAAAGTTTTTTTTTATTTATGTGTGATATTATTTTATTGAAGATATGTCAAAAAAATAGGAAATTTTTTTATCTGGTTGAAGAGATTTTAATCCAATCATTTCTCACCATCATTGTTTGTAAATCAATCTGTAAGTGGTGATATACATGTAATACAACCGATCAGCATAATTCACCTCATGTCAAGAGGAGTTTTAATGAGCAATGAAGTATGTGCAGAATTTAATCAATGAAATTAATCAGTTTCATCACTGATCACTTGGTCGGGGGGAGTTAGAAAAAATTGCAAAGGAAGTCCTTACTCTTCAAGAAAAGTGCAAATACCCCTATGTTTCAAATATTGACATTTCGATCCTAAACTTTATTTAATGTAGTAGAAGAGGTCTTTGCAGACGGAATCCATCTAATTAGATGTTAAATAGGCACGTGATGAATATGTTTTTTGCTAAAACAATCATCACACTCTTGTTTAGGAAAAAAAGGGTATCCCAAACTCCTCATCAACGGTCAACCGTCGCCCCCAACATGACATATCTATTGATTATTTATTTATGGAGTTATTGTCATATCATGTGGGGTTCACGAGTTGTTGTCTCGTTTGAGCTGTCCAATTCAAGGTGGTGCTTGAGATTTACGGGGCCTTAAGAGAATTTTAGAAGTTGGCCCCAAATTGTAATATGCATTCAATTTTTTTATTCATAGGAGTTTTACAATACTAAATATATTAACTTAAAACTCAAAAGCAATATAGAAATTTTTTATATTATAATTATATAATAAGGTCGAAAATGTTCCAAATGATCATTTACATATTACTTGCTTTGCATATTACAACCAAATAGTAAGAACACTACTTTGATCATTTGAACAATATTTTGATTAATGTGACAAATGAACTATAGAGATTTAGTAAAACCCAAATTTATTTACCCAAATTCCGTCCACAAGGGCCTGCTGTACTATGTTAGTGAGAGATGGGGATTACAATGAAGCGGATTCGGGATCAGAGGCCATTCTCTACCCTGCCCTCCGAAGGATTTTTTGCCCTGTGCCCCATTTAAGATGGGACAGGTTTGAGCTCGGGACGAGATACTCATTTGTCCTGTTTTACGGTCCCATATGATATTTTTTGATATATTTCTTGTCTTTTAAAAAGAAATAAAGTCATGTTGTCAAAAGAAAATTTCTCACCTTGTTGACCAACCCTCACAAAGTGCATGGGCCCACTTGAATTAAATAATGCCCCTTCCTCGAGGTGTGTGTATTCGGTCATTCAAAGTATCAACGGCTATGTTCGTGTAGCATGATTCTTTAAAAAGTTAGTTTTTTTTTAAAAAAAATAACACGAAATGGTACGAGGTAGCGGGTACTTGTTTCCGTCCCAAAATCGAGTCGTGATAAGATTTCTTGTTCCATCCAGTTCTGGTCAAGGCCCACGGGGCTCGAATCAATGTCATTGTAAAAGGAGGAGTAAAGATATAATATGATTTTTAATTAAAAAAAAAAAAAGAAAAAAGAAGAAGAAGAAGAAGTTATTTTTAATATTTAGATCCGCAAGAGGAATGATCGACAATACAGCTTTTTAAGTTCTTTCAACAAGTGCGTCCAAGAAAACAATAAAACTCGAGAGAGAAGTCGAATGAAAGTATTCTAGTGCCACTTGAAGAAAAGCAATGACAGTTGTATTCAAATCACACTTTAATTACATTAATAAAGGTCATCAACCTTTACTCAGTCCTGCAACAGTGACATTTAAGTTTGGAGTAACTAACAATTTGAAATAAACGAAAAAGGAGCTAGCTTATCTTTATGGAATTGAGGGATCATTATTTATTAGTTCTTTAATGTTGCATTTCTTCGAATCCAACGAGTACAAATAGGGTGAACATAAAGCTAAAATTGACAGAATTGCTGAATAAGCACCAGAGCAGAAAACCTCTAAAGATTTGAAGATTTACGGGAAATGTTAATGACAAAACGGTATTTAACATCATTTTTTGCGAGTCGCTCAAAGGCTTCATTAATTTGATTCGGCGTGACAACCTCAATCTCACACGTTATGTTATGTTTCCCACATACGTCCAGCATCTCTTGCGTCTCTTTTATGCCTCCTATGATGCTCCCCTTCACAGCTCTCTTCCCTGTCAAGTGTCAAATGTTCAAAAGTTCGGTCCATTTTTTACTTTACGATCTTGCTCTTGGAACACAATCAAGAGTACATGTTTGGTACGTATTATTAAATAGGGTTGGATAGCACAATAAATAAATCTTTTGTCTTACCAAACATGCACTCAATCTTTTGCTTTTTACAGATGAAATAATACTATGAAAAATAATCTTAAGGATATTCAAAGCCTCACCTAATATCAAAGGGAAAGATGGTAGTTCCAGGGGCTTGTCCGGTGCACCCACTATTGCCAAAGTGCCATTTACTTTCAACAACTCTAAGGTTGGTCCAAGGGAGTGTTCGGCTGATACCGTATCCAAAATAAAGTCGAGAGTCCTACTCTTCGACTGCAATATATGAGAACCTAATCATTTAAAAGTGTCATTGAGCGACCGAGCGTATTTTTATGACATTGTATTTCAGATATTCCGTGATTACTTCCAT